TTAAAAAAAATTATTTATAGTTATTTTAAGCAACAGTTATAGTTAATTTAGGGAACAGAAAAAAAACAATGCTCTATATATATATACGAAATTTGTGTTGCAATTTTGCATTTGTTTTTAAATATTGCATTATTATTATTATTTTTTTTTTTCAGAGCCACTAACTCGCAATTGGCTGTTTATAAGTTCACCTTTCGAAGTTATATTTATAACTCTTGCTTACTTGTATTTCGTTCTTCGTTTTGGTCCTCGTTACATGAAAAATAAGCCACCATATAAGCTGAAAACCTTTATATTGGTCTACAATATAATTCAAATATTGGCAAACATTTGGGTAGTAAAGGAACACATATCTAGTGGTTGGTTTTCGAAATATACTTTTTTATGTTTTATACCACATCCAACTTCGCCTAGTGCGATTAGAGTATGTATTTATAATATTATTATTATTGCAAATAGATAATAAGTCTCATTCTATAATTTATAATTTTAAATTGTATAATTGCTGCTTGTATTGTTTAAAATAATCAAAATTTAAGAAATAATACTTATTTCTTTAGTTATTTTAACATTTTATAAATATGCGATAATATTTGTTTTAGCTCTTCAATATGATGTGGTGGTTTCTACTATTGAAATTTTTTGATTATTTTGAAACCTGTATATTTGTGTTAAGGAAAAAACAGAATCAGGTTTCCAGTTTGCACGTATACCATCACGTGTCAAACGTAGCTTTCGCCTGGTATTTTTTAAAATATATGTTAGACGAAAGAGCAACATTTATTACCTTGATTAATTGTTCCGTGCATGTAATTATGTATATTTATTATTTTCTGGCTGCGTGGAGTTCAAATCTTCAAAAAAAGTCTCCTGCCTATTAAACCATATGTAACAAGGATACAATTGGTAAGTTAAATTATTATTTCTTATATTAAATCTTTATTTTAACAATCATATTGCCAATTATTCTAGATTATAATGTATTTCATATCAAAGTAATAAGTTGAAAGCTTTCAAATAAAACAAAATTACAATTTAAACAAAATAAATTGCAATTAATAAATGTCTATAAAATATAAGTAGTACAATATTATTGAACACATTCAATTGCAAATAACGTATTGTGGATTAAACGTTTGATTAAAAAAAACGAGCCATCGAACAATCTTTGTATTTTTTATACATTACTCTGCTATCATCTTTGCGGATTGCGCGATCAAATTAATACAAAGTTTATGAACTTGAATAAGACTTAAGTTATCAACATCTTTTTAATAATTAAAAAAAATCGGTTTAAAATTTTTGATAAAACGTTTATTATTTGTTGAAGCTTTGATAGAGCATACACAGCCTTGTCTCGCATAACACAGTTTTAATATTCAATAATATACACCGATTACTACTGACTAATCTGAATGATCATAAAATATTTTACAAATGTTTATGTTTCTTGCTTGTGTATGTTTATGTTTATGTTTAAGTCAACATAACTTTTTATAAAAAGATTCATAAATTTATATATGTTTCACGTTTCTATAAATATCCATCATGTATTTTATTTCACAAATTTATATTTTATAATGTTAAAAATTTTTCTGTCAATTATAATGTTAATTATATAAGTTTTAATATAATTTCATAAATGCAAAATTTTACAAAAATTTAAAATTATTATAATTTGTTTCCCAAATTAGATGCAATTCTTTGCAATATTATTATTGTGCACGCAAGTTTTATCGTCCTCCTGTGAAGCAAGAGAAAATCAACAGATAATTATTATTTTTAATATAAATATATTGATATTTATTTATTTATTCTATAATTTTTATAAAAAAAATTATATTTTACCGAAACTAAAACAACAATAATATTTATATAATAATTAACATATATTGTTTAATAAAAATATTGTTATTCTAATATTACTTTTCATGACAATAATATTGTAATAAAAAATTAATCAAATAAATACACAATTATAAAGTCAATAGAAATAATTTCTCTAAATTACTTTTAGACTATATTTCAAATTTACATTAAATAAAATAATAAAATGCATATGATTTCAAGTTTTGTCGCTATATGTATATTAATAAATTCATATTATTCATATTCTAATCCATTAATCAATTATTGAAAGTAATGTATTTTGTCTTAAAGAATCGAATAATGTGATGTTAATTATAATGTTGCATAATATTTAAAAAGCAATTAACGTATTGTACGTCGACGCAAATATTATAATGTTAATTGTAAGCAAATTTTATGTGGTACGAAGAGTCTGTAATAAATAATGTAAATAAAGCTTCATAAAACAACAATAGATATGTATTTTTGCATTATTATATTTTAAATTAAAAAGTCATTGCACAGAGATCGTCGTATCGATGCATTTCACTATCAGCGCAAAAATTAAAAGTTATCCCCCGCTTTATTTTTCGCGTTCAATATAATATATATTTTTTAATATATATTTTTTTCTAAATAATTATTTTCGCTTACCGCACGCCGCGCGCCTAGCGACCGTAGTCTGTAGGCGGTCGTATCTCAGCCGTGCGTTCGCATTCGGTAATCTTTAATAATTAATATCTCTTTAACCCTTGTAAAAATTGTAAAATGGTAGAGGACTTTTCGGTTCAGTTTGGTCTGCTCTACCGGCATACGGCCGCTGTGTCAAAATTTTTGGGACACCCTGTATATATATTATATTATTTGACTATTGTGACGACATCACTGTTCTCTATGAAACGGTTATTTTAACGACATTTCAAAGTTAAGCAAAGAATTTATTCCTTAGATTAGAATAACCATTTTTTGTTAAATAAAAGCAATTTTCACAAATAATTGTATTTTTAAAAATTTATAAAATATAGAAAAAAAGGTTATTTACTCTTTTATTTATTTACAGCAAAATAAGAAACTTCTTACATATAAGTATTTTATTTCGCAATTTGCTTATTTTTTTCCAAATTCTCTGCTAGTTATTTTTGTGATATTAATATATATTATTATATTATTTATAATAGTACTATTATATTATTATACTATTATATTATTTATGATATTAATATACATATATACTAATAAATATAGGAAAAAATTATTTTTATTTAAATATCATTTCTATGTAGATATTTATGCCATTATACATCAATATA